AAGGTGAGCACTGCAGTCTCCAAGAAAGTTGCAGAGAACTTGTGATAGTTTTTCTCAGTTCTGAATGTGCTGGCAGAATTCCAAACTGGAGTATTCTCCAACCTAAGAGCATGGAAACGACCAGTTCTTTGTATCCTACTCTGTCTTGGTTACACAGTAGCACTATATTAGGAATCAGAGGATTCTACTCCTAGTTTAGTGTAGAACTCTGTATGAACACAGGTATTTTCTGTCTTTGAAAAACAACAACAAAATGAACCATTAGACTTTTCCCACTCTGACTGAAGTATAATGAGAGCAATTTTTCTGAGTACTCTATTTTATATACACTGCCAGCACTGACCAGTTGTTGCCTTTTGAACACAGTATGAGTGTTTAGCAGATCTTGGGAACAGAGACAAAGCTTGCTTGTTTGGCAGTTACTCATAGTCTTCTCTCCAGTATTCATTCATTCATTTGTCACAACATTTTGGGGGGAGTTGTACAGGGAAGCTTAAGAAAAACTACTTTACTCTTGTCTTGATTATAGAAAGCACTTCTCACTATTGGTAGCATGGTGGTAATTTTTCATTCCTTCTGGCAATTTTAAAAGACTTATTTGACTTTGGGGGAACCTACAGTATATCTCTAAGTCACAGTTCAAAAGTATAAGACAAGATTTCTCATTTTCAATTTTGGTTGAAAAGTCTTAACTTTGACTGTGGCACTTCAAAGTTAGAGAAAACTTGGTTTTAAAAATGGAAGCTGATATGAGATGGCATATTTAATGACAGATGTATCTATAGAAAGCTGTTAAGATGCAGATTATCCCCCCTGGGGTGGGGGAGGGAGATCAAAACTGCCAATCTATAAAATATACTCGATAGAGGAAGGCTTGGAATCTATCTTCGCAAGTGCTTTGATTGCAGGGGACAGTATAGCAGCATGTGGCATCATAACCCAGAGCAGACAAATCAGCTTGATGACTTTCAAAGCCAGGAATACTGCTGCAGGCAAGGGTACTCCAGTCTAGGAGAAATTAAAACATATAGAGACTGTTATTAATTCCATATCTATTTTTGTATAGTCAAATCTGTATGCAAATCCTTAGCATCTCATTTCAGCAGATTAATCTAAAAGTGAAGAGTGTTATGTGAAGAGAATGTAATGATAAAGCTCTGCAAATGAGTAACACTGCTAAAGAAATGTGGGCTGCAAACTTGGATGCTTTTTATAAAATTTATTTTTTTGTACTGAGAAGAAATGTTTTTTATTTATATGCTCATTTGTAAATCATTTCAAAAGGAAAGAAATAGAACTGATTTCCAACATTTTCCTTTGCAGTTCTGACTTGGCAAAAGTTACTACACTAAGCTTGCTAGGCACCTCCTGTGGTTTCACATTCTAGAGGTAATCAACCAAATAACTAACTGAGACTTTTATCTTTACTCCCAACTAGTAATCCAATATCTCATTTCTAAACATTGTCATCTGAGTGAAAATTTGTATGTAAGTGTAAGAAATCTAATTACTGAGTGCAAATTAACAAAACATTCTATTATAGATGCATCTATGGAAGCTAGTAAATAATAATTCTAAATAATAATTATCATTATTTATTATACATGGAGATATTGTGTGCCCCGTTTGGGAGTGGGGATATAATAGCTCCATTATAATCCATTGCTTATGCATTTAATCTATAAGGGGCAGAGTCTGATACCTACAGTCATGTAAATATTTTCAAATATTCAAAAATAAAGTGGAGAGTTGACTGTAGTAGATACTAATTCTGTCTCATATTTCTAAAACAAGTAGGGAAACTTGCAAAGTTTTAAAATAATAGGTGGGAACTTTTATCTTCTGTTCCCTTTCAATTACAGAAATTATTAAAGGAAAGCTGGACATTAATCCAGTAGCTATGTCCCAGACTGAAAGCACGGGCAATCATTTCAACCTTGAACATGTATATGATTTGATGATTCTTGTGTGGTTATTCTGAAAGAGAATTATCGAATATTCCATTTTTAATTGGGTAGGAAAGGAAAGATTGGGAGCAAAAGCAAACAAACATTAGTTTTTATTTTGACACACATCTTGACTACATAGGCATTTTAGGCTCAGCTTTCTTAAATGTGTTTTTCTTTTATTTCATTTTAGAAATGAGACGTTCAATGAGAAATCCAGAGAAAATATTTTTGAGGGCAAGAACATCCCTTCTATTCTTCGTTAATTTTCTCTGAAGACAAAACTTTTATCATAAAAGTGGTTGAAAGCCTTAGAATTTTTTTTAAAAAGTGTAACTTTCAAGCTATTCCATGATCAAATACGTGAAAGATATAATTTCCTTATAGGGACTGAATCAGAGTAATGATTGGTCTGGGCAGGTTCCCTCATCTTTATGTATTTGTTGATTCTCCCAGCTCAGTTGAGAGTCAGGCACTAACCCATCCTATTCAAACTAATTTGAAACTTAACCATGGAGTTGATGGTGAAGACCTATTCAAAGCATTTGAACAGTCAAAGACAAAATTGCACTGAATAAAGTTAAACAGTCCATTTCAGTGCGGGGAGAGAGATCAGAATGGAGTTTGGAATAAACTCCATCAAAGCAAAGAGATTTTTAAGAACTGCTTTTTAAGCACTGAGGTGAACAAGCAGAAAAGTACTGAGGGACTTTGGGGGGAAGATACATCGATGTATATTGTTGAGCACATTCAGTTACTCCTCAGTTTGCTCTTTTTCCCTATGATGAGGCTGTTGCTTATTGGTGCATATCAGTATTAGGTTCCTGCCCTCCCATAGAAATTGGGAGATAGAGTGCTATCTTGCTTATATTTCAAAGGGATGGCTCCCACCCAAGTCCTTGAAGTTTTTCATGGATTGTAAAAGTAGCAAGTGTCTTTTAAAATGATTTTTATCTCAAAGAGGCAGAGAAACAATTTATAAATAACCTTTCTAAAATAAATGTCCTAAGAAAGGTCAGGGACCTAGAGGCAGGAAGTGACTTGAAACTGGGGAAATGTAAAGACTTCTTAGTATTGTAGCAACATGTATGTTTTTTAAATTTTTAATTTTTTTTTGGTTGTAGATGGACAAGATACCTTTATTTTATTTAATTTTTTATGTGGTGATGAAGATCAAACACAGTGCCTCACACGTGCTAGGCAAGCACTCTAATGATGAGCTACAATCCTAGCCCAGTATATATGTTTTTCATTCAAAAAATTACCATTTGCTAGCCTGGCTCAATTTTAAATCTTTATTGCAAAATTACCTGCTTCTTCATGACACTTATTAAAGCAAGAATGATATTCATTTTACAATAGTGTCTAGAACTATGTATAAGGCAATATTTCTAAAAAAAGACATTTTTGGTTCCTGTATTCCTGTTATTTTATTACCTAAATTTTCTCACTGTATTGTAAAGTTTTTACATTTGATGGTAAAAAATTAAGGTAGGATTTAAAAAATTTTGGACTTCATAGGACTTATTGTATACCAAAACCATGAAAAGAAGTATAGGTCAAGTATCCTCTATCTAAAATGCTTGGGACCAAAAGTGTTTAAATTTTGGATTTATTCAGATTTTGAATATTTGCCTACACATACAGAGATGTCTTGAAGATGGGAACTAAATCTAAATACAAAATTTATTTTTTCATATATACCTTATAGCTTGAATATAATTTTACACAGCATTTTTAGTGGGCCTGTATTTTGACTACAATCTGTCACTTGAGGTTGGGTGTAGAATTTTCCACTTGTGGCATCATGTGAGTGCTCAAAAGTTTTCAAATTCTGGAACTTTGGGATTTGGATTTTTGGATTAGGGATGTTCAGCCCCTATGAGGACAAATAAGAGAAATACCTAAAAAGTTTGATGATTTTTTTTGTGGGTTTTGACTAAGCAGAAGGTCTTAATTCTTTTGGATCTAAGCACTGTTAAGGAGGTTTTATAAAAATTGACCACAACAGCTACACTGGAGAATTTTAGATTTGTTCTGTCCAGTTTGGTAGCCATTAGCCACATGTGCCTTTTTAAGTATTTGAAATGTGTCTAATCTGTCCTGTGTCAAATATACTCTGGACTTTGAAGACTTGGTATTAAAAAAATATAAAATACTTCCTTATATTGATTTCATGTTGAAATTATATTTTGGCTGTATGGAGGTAATATAATTTATTATTAAAGTTCATTACTCCTTTTTACTTTTTAATGTGGCTACTGGAAAATTTATAATTGTATATGTGACTCACATTTATGACTTTTGTTATATCTATTGCACAGCACTGGCTCCAAATCCCTTTTGATAAGTAATGTCCTTTGCTATATATAGTTGTTCCAAAGAAATATCAAGATATCACTGTGTTAATAAATGGAGAGTATAGCTTTAAAATTGTAAATTTAGCTAGTGGAAAGAATTTTCCATATAACATGTCCTTGCCATATATTATATAGAGATTTGTCTATGTGTACTGTGTTCACTCCACTCTTCCCCTATACAATGTCCCTTATTCTGGCCATGCAGAGCAAACTTGCCAAAATTGAGGGCCCTTTTGATAGCATCAGCAGGCTTGTTGCTTGTTCTCAAATGGAGGGCTTGTGAAACGTTTCTTAAAAATGAAATTGCTTTCCAGGCGTAGTGGCACACATCTGTAATCCTAGCAACTCAGGAGACTGAGGTAGAAGGATCTCAAGTTCAAGGCCAGTCTGGGCAATAGTGAGACCCCATCTTAAAAAAAAAAAATGAAAGAAAGAAAGAAAAGAAAGAGAAAATAAAAGAAAGGAAAAAGAGGGCTGGGAAATGTAGCTTAGTGGTGGTGGTAGTGGCTCTTCGTTTAATTCCTAGTACCACACAAAAAAAAAGGAAAAATAAAATATACTATTACTTCATCAATAATAACTTCTTTATCATATCATGGGTTCACCAGGATGTATACAAACAAATCCTTAGCTGTAGCTAATTCTTTTTTCATTGTATTTCATTATTATGCTCTAACACATTACTCTGTTACAGGTGGAGTTACTAACACGGCACAGTATCAGAACAGACTAATGGTATATGAACCTAACCAGGTAAGAATCCTATAAGAAAAGCTCATTACCCTAATTAAAATGAATTTTTAAATATTCCCACAGGAATTAATAATTGGAATGTCAGGTCTGTATCTGCGGACAGTCATCTTAAGCCCATATGGGGATCGTAAGCTTATTTGTGTAAAATTTTTGTTTACTTTTTTGTTGTTATTGTACCAAAATTCCAGTTCCTCTAGTTTGTACTATTCATAATGCTTCATTATTTTAGAGCTTTGTATAATGCAGAAAGGATTGATTGTTCTATAGGGGTCCCCTCCTGGAAGGGATGCCATTGTAGGGGAAAAGCATGCTTGTAGTTTTATTTTTAAATCAAATAGCCAAAAAAAATATTTAACTTAATGTAAACAAAATTTTTTAGAACAGTACCTAAAATGCATTCAAGGTAAAAGTCTCTGGAGTTGAGTATGTTTTTCATCCAATAGCTGGGGCCTAGAAGCATCCAGATTGTACCTGTTTGTCCATTTTCATTGTATACTTAATGATGTTTTTGTCCTCCCAAAGGAATATTTTATTCTCTTTTCTTTCTTCCAAAATATCTACAGCTTTGGCAGATTCTAAAGAATTTTTCCATTTCTATGTTTGACAATACTCACAAGTGATTTGATTTGGAGGTTTATATTAATCAAGATATTGAGATATGAAACAACAGGTTGACCTTGACAGTCTTGAGTCAGGATTGACCACTAAAGATTTGTCTGTGGTCCTCAGTATATTTGGTTATCTTTTTATTTTAGCAATTGATTCGGAATTTAATGAAGGCATTTCTCTTTTCACAAGTGTGTCTCCTGATGTCATTAGAAGCTATAAATTTCAGAGACTAAATGTCCATGGGTCAGCTGTCTCAAGGGGAATCATTAATTGCAGTTGCTTGAGCTGGGTGCTTACATGGTTAAAGAGGAAGAAGGTGTTAACATTGCTCAAATGAGTTCTGTTTCATGTTTGTACACACATGCTCTTTTTAAAAATTCTGCTGGCATATTGTTTACGGTGGGTACTGGCAAACATCACATCTGCTTGCATCTTGCTCAGAATCTCAATAACTCTATCATTCAGCCCTGGTGCTTATTTCTCTTCTAGGCCTTTGTGGAGAGTCGATAATGCCTGCCATCTGCCACAGAGCACATCGCTACCTGCCAACAGGCAGGCTGGGGTGACCTCTGCTTCCCCACTACTGATTAGTATTCACACGCTAGCTTATTAGGAATGACCCCACCAGGCCTCCCTGTTTCTTTGCCTTTGCAGTGGTTGGCGGCTCACCTGGCAGGCACTGCAGTGAAGGAAGCTAAAGATATAATCAGGGGATGTAGGCAGACTTTGCAAACCAGATGGCATCTATAGTCTTGTAGCAGGGGACTGGACTGCTAATGCAAACATTGATTCCTGATACTATAATGGGTCATCTCATAGAAAGCACCTAAGAAAAGCATCATCAGAGTTTTTAGGTAAATTTACTCAAGTGTAATGTATTAAAGATATGTCTAAGCAAAACATCTAAAGAAAGACTTGATTATTTTATTAAAGAAGATATTTGATTAGAAGGGAATTCTTATCATAAACATGTTCAATGGGGAGCTGATAATGTACAAACAACTGTTTTTCCAGAGTGTATCTTTAAAATAGAAATTAGAAATGACCTAGTATATATGCCTTTAGTGAATATATGCCCATAGTGTCTATACTTATGGTGAATATATGCCTGCAGTGTATATGCCAATGTTTATACAGACATGCTTGTTGTTGCTGTTTGCTTCTTCCATTACAGCCTTGTGAACTAGTGGCGTTCTATATATTCAAAACATCATATGACTTTTTCTGGTTGAAATCCAAATTTTCATGGCAAAAAAGGAAATTAGGTTCTTCCTGTGTGTTTAGTGTTTATGGAGAAATAAAATGGCTCAGTTTACTTACCTGTCCATTACTTGGTTGATATTTAAAGTTAGAGTCATATTTGAGTCTCATCTAATTTTATAATTTATATTATATTTTAAATAAAACTCTTATTTTAAGCATGTACTCTCCTCATTACCAACAGTGACCTAGAACCAAATATTGAAGGTTCCACCATTCCTTAAAGTGCTCATATAAAACTTGACTTTCTACCAATATAAATAAACATGTACCTAGAAATGACTTCTTTCAGTTTGGCAGAAGTTGTAACTGTAAATATATTAAAGGATGCCGATGCAAAGGAAATGTGGGAAGTTTGTTGCTGAACCAGACCTTAGCTCATCCATTGATCTCAGGTTAACTTTGGAGAGAACAGAAAAGCCACTCTAATCTAGGTTATTTAGGGGGCTACATGATTATTATAACAGTGATTATTAAAACAACTTATTTTTTTTAAAGTAGACATGTATTGTACACTTATTATACATCAGACATTTCCCAAGTGCTTTATGTATGTTATCACATTTAATCGACTGGTTCATTGGATAGGTGTTAATTTCCCCATTAACTCCATCAGGTAGGTATTGTATCCACAGATGAGAAAATAGGCACAGAGAGGTTAAGTAAATTGCTCAAGATCACACATGTGTTATAACCCAGGCATTCTGGACCCAGAAACTTGTTCCTAATCATTATGCCTAATCACTAACCCCAGTATACCTTAGCAATGGGTTTTCACTCTTAAGTGATTTTCATCAGTAAATTCTCTGAAGTGGGTAAGATAACCATCATGAAAAGTTTTAGTATTTCCCTTATAAAATGAAAAACTGTCTTATAAAATGGAACAAACAAATGAAGGGCCTTATAAAAATCACAAATAGAATGGGAATACATGGTTCTTTTGTACTTGTTCTCATGAAAGAAGCCTATACCTTTCAAGATATTTAAACAATATTCAAATAAAAGTGACTGATAAGGGGCTGGGGTTCTGGCTCAGTGGCAGAGCGCTTGCCTTGCACATGTGAGGCCCTGGGTTCAACCCGCAGCACCACATAAAAATAAATAAATAAAGCATGATATTAAAAAAAGAAGTGACTAATGAACATTAGGGTTCTCACTACTAATGAGCTATCTACTGCTGTTTTATGCCAAGGAAGTCTCTTATTTCAGAATGAACTTGAATTTCTTTTTTCAGAATAAGTGGATAAGCCGCAGTCCCATGCTACAGAGAAGGGTCTACCATTCCATGGCTGCTGTCCAAAGGAAGCTTTATGTTCTTGGAGGCAATGACCTAGACTACAATAATGACCGGATCCTTGTGAGACATATAGATTCCTATAACATTGACACTGACCAGTGGACACGTTGTAATTTCAACCTGTTAACTGGCAAGTATCTTGATTAAGTAAATAAGTTAAAAAAATAAAATAAAATGCCGATTCAAGAAGTTGCCAAACTTGTTTTCTTAGACATCCATAGTGCATCTCTAAATGTTAAGTGCATAGTGGGTATAACAACTGTTTTTTAAAATTTTTTTTAATTGGTTACTTTTAGCTATACATGACAGTATATATACTTACACGAGCATGGAATATATCTTATTCTAATTAGGACTCTAGTCTTATGGATATACACTATGGTGGGCTTCACTGTGGTATTCATATATATATATACATAGGAAAGTTATGTCAGATTAATTCTATTGTCTTTTCTTTTCCTATAGCTCCTCCTCTCCCTTCATTCCCCTCTGTCTAAGTCACTGAACTTCTATTCTCCCTCTCCCCTTATTGTGGGTTAGCTTCCAACTAACAGAAAACATTCAACCTTTGTTTTTTTGGGGGAGTTGACTTATTCCACTTAGCATGATAGTCTCCATTCTATCCATTTACCAGCAAATGTCATAGTCATTCTTCTTTATGGTTGAGTAATACTCTATTGTTCTATACATGCCACATTTTCTTAATTCATTCATCTATTGAACGACATTTAGGTTGACTCCATAGCATAGCTATTGTGAGTTGCTACACTAAGATTTCATCTCACTCCAGCCAGAATGGGAATTACCAACAATACAAGTAACAACGACTTGCTTTTGTTAACCAGAAAGGTATGCATTATCTTTCACAACAAAACTGGACTCCAGCACATGGCTGGCATCTCGTTTCTCAGAGCCTGTACTACCTCTGTGCATTCTCATGTGACTAAGAGAAACATGTCAAGACCGTTACCATCAATGAATATTCACATAGGAACTTTGATGCATGGGGGAGGAATGAGGCACTGAAAGAGTTAGCTCTTTTTACAGAAAAAAAATTTATTTTGTAATTCTCATTGCTTTGTTGTCTTATTTCTTGTGAGTTCAGGAGAATGGTCTTCATTATTTGTCACTGTCAAATACTGTTCCTGGGTGCAGTCTCCTAGAAATTAAATCTTAGAGTAGTTCTGTGAATAGGGGTTTGATCATGTTTCTGGCCACACATTCCATCCAAGCATTTCCACAGGTCAATCCTAGCTGTAGCCCATCCTCATCCCAAAGAATGAAAACAAAGCTGGAATGCAACTTATAATGTTTCTTTTTGAAAGTGAACTTTTTTTCTCCTGTCAACTTGCATCATTAACATCCCCAAACAATCAGGTAGCTGACAGGGCTGCTCAAATAATAGGAAAATCACAAACTCAAAATGGTGGGTTAGATTAGTTCCTGAAGACATTTTAATATGCTAGTGAGCATTCAATTAGTCATGGCTGCTATTGCAGAGGCAACATTGGGAGCATAACCAGAGATGTGGATGCTTTGTATTGAGCTCCTGTTTTTTCAAAATGATTTTTGAGGCCCATTACAAGTACTTAACTCTCAGTTGTGGTAGTACCTTAGATCCTCCATCTCTGGATCTGGATTCTGCCTGCTATAGAATCCAGCTTATTTATTACTCCAGTCAGTCCTGTGTCAGCTCATCAATAAAAAGGGACTCTTTCACTCTCTGATGGCCTCCAGGGAAGAATTTGTGTTCATGAGTCATTTAGTCTTCTTTTTTGAAATGGGAGGGGAAACATTTCATCATTTTGGCGTGTCAGTATCTAGGGATTATCCACACTAGTCCCAGCTCAAGAACTTTAATATAATTCTAAAACTGTTGTGTATGTAAAGAAAGGGAGGGTAGCAACTTCATCAATTTTTTCTGCCATTTGTCTTCATTTAGGGCATGCTAAGGGCATAGCTCTGTTTTATTGGCTTCTTGGGGTTGTAGGTATTGGTTTATAGATATAAGCACTTGCTTTAAAAGCATTTGTGGATACAAAAAGTTTTGCATTTCTAAAATATACCTTATTTCTGCCATTATAAATTTATGGCATATGACATAATATAGAACTCTTATTATGCTGTATTTAATATTATATTTACTAACTTTTCTGGCTAATAAATGTTTTGTTTTGGTTTTGACCCAACACAGATTCATTCTCTGAGAAATAGTGGTTAATTCTCCTTAATATTGGAGGCAGTGATCAGTTGCTGTAAAAATCTCATGAAGTATACAGATGTACCACAGGGGAAAATTGTATCGTTCAGTGGCAAAAGGGTTAATTAAAATATGTAAGAAACAGATTTCTTTCTTTTTATTATGTTCTCTTTACTTTAGGTCAGAATGAATCTGGAGTTGCTGTCCATAATGGGAGAATATATTTAGTCGGTGGATATTCGATTTGGACAAATGAACCCCTGGCTTGTATCCAGGTGAGTGGTTGAAGTTCCTTTTGAATTTGCTCAAGTGGTTCAGTGAGGAGGTTTTGTAGTATAGATATCTGGCCACTAGACTTCATGCTGTATCCTAAAAACTGTGCCTACTAAACAATTGAGCTCTCTTGAAAATACAGATAGACACAGCTTTGAAAATAAGTGTAAAATATACCGGGAACTGAGATACCTTACCCTTTTGTTACAAACCAAAAAAATTTAAACATCTTTGGTAATAGTTTGTCATACTCCCAAAACTTTATGGATACCTCTTTTTCCCACATTACCTTATTTTCTGTATCACGATTTGTTCATTTTCATAAATGGCACTTTCAAAGGTTTTCTTCCTTCCTGGCAAAGGCTGTGAATGATAATAGTTAATGGCTGGTCTGACAGGGACAGCCTCTGCCTCAAAGAAATAACCTTAGCTTGTCGGCATGTGAGCAGCCCAGGCTGGGCAGGTTGCCAGCTGGGCCTTCCAGAACAGCAGTGGCCTTTGTTGATATACATATTTAAGGTATTATTCCTATTATTATTTTATAATCCTTACCATAGTTTTCTATTTTACATGTTCTCTGATAAAATTCTGACATATATTAGCACTGACCTTTTTCCGACAACCAGAAAAGTATATCCTTAAACTACTCATATTATTTAATCTCATCTTTGTGGAAAGATTTTTAACAACTGCTTCAGGATCTTTAATAATTTAGAACTTTCCAAGCTTTTTATTCTCCGTGTTGTCTAAGTTTTTGAAATTATAAGCATCTCATTGTGTTATCTTCAGTTACATCTCCCGCTCATTCATAATATTGTTTGCTTTTGTTCCTTCTGATTTTACTTGTCAGAGGTTTGTCTGGAAATTCTGACATACTTTTATCATTCATATAGATCAAGCAAAAAAAATGTCAGCAAGGAGAGGTTAGATATGAAAAATACAGTTAACAAGCTTGATGGAATGAATGTGAATTCTAGAGTGAACAGTTAGAATATATTTTTTTCTTAGTGTACATGAAGCATTTACAAAAACCTGTCACGTGTTTAAAGTTAAAAAAAAAACTTTAATAAATTTCAAAAAGTAAGTATGATTTAGTTTGTACCTCTAATGCAATGCAATTATCTTTGAACTTAGCAACAAGTTGTGTAAACCCTTGTTTATCTGGAAATAATGAAACCCATGGCCACATAACTTATGGGCTAAAGAAATCATAATAGAATTTTAAAAAAATTCCCAGAAGTGTGTGTAAATGAATACATAATTACATTTGTGACATAAATATAGCTCGATATATTAGAAAATGAATAAAAAAATAAACTCAAAGAACATAGTAGATGATAAAAATAAGAGAAAATTAATGAACAAGGAAATGATGATATAATGGAAAATTATAAATCACATACAAAAAAAGAACATAAGATTTGATGGGAGTTAATGAAAGGCTGCCTGGTATCTGTATAACAACAAATAAACTGTTCTCCTCAGGGTGCTTCTAGTCTTCATGCAAGCACATACTTGACAGCTTTCATAGTTCTTTAGCTATTTTTTTTTTAAATTTTTCACTTTTCAGAATTGGTGACAACTTGTGAACTGGGCTACAGGCAGAACTTTGCAGTGCTGGACCACTTTTTTTAAGTGACTTTGAGACCTTGTGTTTGATCATTTTCACAATGGAAGAAAGTCTGGTTTATCTCGAAGTAAATATGAAAATTTCAGATATATTTTTGGGCATATTTCTACTAATTTTAATATTAAATTATCTCAAGGAATAGAAAACAAGTTGAAACTATAACTTAATGAAAAAATAATGAAAACTCACTATATATATCAAACTTAGAGGACCAGAGTGCTCCTGTATTTAAAAAAAACCCCACACCTCCTGTTTTAGAATAGTCTTGAAAGTTAGGTTGAAGACATAGAAAATTAAGAAGCAAAACAAAACTTCATAGTCACATCTTGGTTTTGTCCCCAAAGAGCTTTTCTTTAGAGCACTCACTAATGATATACACTAATTTATTGCTAATGATATCTGGCTGTTCTCAAACAAGCAAAGTTATCCTCAGGAGATGAAAGATTGTGGCAAGTGTATCATCGTCATCATCATCATCATCATCATTACCATGGTATTGGGGATTAAACCCAGGGGCATTTAACCACTGAGCCACATCCCCAGCTCCCCCCTCCCCATTTTTTTTTTTTAAGAGAACAGGGCCTCACTGAATTGCTTAGGGCCTCGCTAATTTGCTGAGGCTGCCTTTGAACTCGCAATCCTCCTGCCTCAGCCTCCTGAGCCGCTGAGCCCCCATGCCTGGCTGTTTAATTTTACTTTGAGACAGGATTTGCTAAGTTGCTTGGTGCCTCCCTGAGTTGCTGAGGTTGGCTTTGAACTTGTGATCACCCTGCCTCAGCCTCCCGAACTGCTGGAAGTAGAGGCATGTACCACTATACCGGCAGTATTATCTCCCAAGAATATTTTTAAACCACTGAGGATATTCATGAGTATTCTCAGGATTAAGGTGATTCTAAAAGTGGAGTCAAGGATATATTTAGCTATTTTTTGATACAGAGGAATGAACCCAGGAGTGCTTTACCACAAAGCTACATCCAGTCCTTTCTAATTTTTATTTTGAGATAGGTTCTTGCTAAGTTACTGAGGACGGCCTCAAACTTGTGATCCTCCTGTTTCAGCTCCCCAAGTCACTGGGATTACAGGCCTACCACTGTATCCAGGTCAAAAATTATTTTAATCAGTGTCTGTATTAGTGAAGTATTTCACCTTTGAGATCATACAATAAAATATCCTATGTATTTTTTTTTTTAAAGTCAGCGCTATGGGAATTCTATATTCAAAAGCCATTTTGATGAACAGAACCAATCCTTTTGCAAATTCTATATTTATTCCCTTGGCTGGCACACTGGTCCTACAAAGTATAGATACATTTTAAAAATAAGTTTTTAAAAGTCTCTACTACTGGGCAGGGATGTGGCTCAGTGGCAGAGCACTTGCCTAGCATGTGTGAGGCACTGACAACTAAAAAAAATTTTTTTTAAAGAATCTTTACTACTAACTAATGTGTGTGAGTATATGGATAACAGACTTATCATGTGCCTTGTATTTTAGTTTTGACAACTGGTTACTAGTTGTAATATTCTTTCTGAACTAAGGCTCAAATGTTTTATTTTATGGGTGACTATTTCTTTTGATGCATTAAGAGTATTATATTAATGGTTGGAGACACTTACCTGTTTGAAAGCAGGTCACTTGATGGAAAATAGCCAATAGAGAAGTAAGACAATGGGATACTGGAACATTTATGAGAAAACTGTGGCTAGACAGTAGAAGTCTCTGAGTGCAAAACAGGGAAAGTAGAGGGCAGTGATGGTGAAAATCATATGCACACTAAAAATACCTGAGTTTAAAATTTTTATGTCATAAATAATAACTATATAATCCTTAACCCAAGATTGACACATCATTAATCCAAGAGCATGGCCAATAAATAAAGATCATAATGAAATAGATCAGAAACTGTTTCACTAACATGGAGAAGGATTAAATTATTTTCTTTGCCCTTGAAAATGCTAGTCAATAATCTATCTCAGTAGATGCTCCCCTGGACTCTAATTCAGGTTCATCTAACAGTCATTTGTGGGATTCAGCCACCTGGGATGATGCATGAGAAAGCATGCTGCTGCATTTCCTGCTACTGCTCTTAGTACAGACTATGATTCATCACAAGGACAACTCGAATGAGAGAAAAGCTGAGAGGCTCTTAATTAATACTTGTTTGAAGGTTGAGATCTGGACTTGTTAGTAATAAAAACTCATGGGAAATATTGGAAATAGGTTCCTGACAAAAATGAAGGTGTTTTTGTTTATTCTGTGGTCATGTAAGAAAATTTCTGGCACAGGAGTTTGACTCTAATCTGGTGTGCCACAGATGACAAGTAGTACATAAGGGAGCAGCTGTGCAAGTGTGCAAGTGATTAGTCTGTTTCCAGATCACTTTTACTGTTCTCTTCATTTACTATTATTTTCTTTTGGCTGGAGATATGCTGCCAATCTGGCTCTGCCTTTTCCCAAATGCCTTCTTTCTGCCAGTTTAGGGGAGTGTTTTGGAGAAAAATTGCCAATGCTTCCTTTTCTCTTCTCAGATTAAATACATTACATCTGCTTAACATATGTAGTCTCTGTTGGCCCAGGCAACTGGACAAAAGCTCTGGATTATTATCTCACTGTTATTTTGCCTTTTAAAAATGTAGTCAATTGGAGGGAGGGATATCACTAAGGCAGGAAATCCAAGCTCTTTCTGGGTTGCATCCTTGAGCTCAGATACTCAGTACCACCATGCAGTATTAAGTCACTTAATGTTGTCTGATTCTGTATTCTTTTCTGTAAATTGAAAATAACACCCAACCTTTCATAACTGTGATCTCTATTTTCTATATTCAATGAAATATTAATCAAAATCCCATTGAGATTTTCCTTTTCTCATGGGGTAGGCAAGTGATACTTGTCAAACTGATGATAAAATTTCTCTAGATGTTGGGTGCGGTAGTGCTGTAATCTCAGCAATTTGGGAAGCTGAGGCAGGAGGATCACAAGTTTGAGGCTAGTCTCAGTAATTTAGCTAAACCCTATCTCAAAATAAAAAAGGGTTGGGGATGTACCTCAGTGGTAAAGTACCCCTCCATTCAATCAATCCCCAGTACCACACACACACACACACACACACACACACACAAAAAAAAAATCTCTAGGACAGTAATAGTATATGAATAATCAAGAAATATTTGAAAATGAATTGGAGAGACTTGCCTTTGTCAAAACAACTATAAATGGGATATTGCAAGAAACATTACTGAAACTGTAAATGGGATACTGAAAAAGAACAGCATTTATATTTAGTGTTAAGATAAACTAGTTAGTATCTCTAATACTACTTACTAATATCAGGACATATTATTTAATAAATAGTTTGGGACAGTTAAATGTCCATTTGGGAAAAAACCCACATAGCTAAAAGTTTGGTTTTTCTTTTATTCTACCAGTGATTTTTCCCTTTTATGAGCTTGGATCCCTTAAATTCAAGGGCTCCTTTTTATCTAAAATAATGCATTATTGCAGTTAAAGGTTTATGAGTCAATCACATAGATGATAGATGAAGACGAAAATCATTAAAGGAGTCTATCAAGAGATTTGTGGTTGGATTTTGGTGGGTAGGGTGGCACACCTATATCTAGAATTCAGGTGAACGAATGGGACCAAAAGTGGATAGCAATAGGGCAATATCAATGGCAAACTTTTATTTTAAAATCATAGACCCCAAGGGAGAAAAAGTTTTAAATGAGATTAGAGGAAAGTCAAATGAACCTCTATGAACCATCATAAAGATGATAGAGGGCTGGAAAGAGCCTAATAGAGTTGACACATGGAGGAGAGCAGCATTTTCCTTAGCAGGGAGGTGAAGTCGGATTCAGTTAGGTGACTGCAGGCACAGTCTAACAGAAGCTGTACCTTATAAGAAAAGAGACAGAACTCCAGCTAGAAGAGGAAATAATCAGGGAAAAATTTCCAGAATCAACTGAACTAATTTTGAACCTACTACTAAGCTGTTATAATATTTTACTATGTGCCAGATGCTCTGCTAGATATCACTAGTTTTCACGATAAAGCTGCAAGGTCTTGCTTGTTTTCTTCATTTTATAGATGAGAATCTGTAAGCCAATATTATGACACAACTAGTTTGAACAAGCTATTTAATAAGTCTAAGACAGTTTTATTAAGTGAAGGTAATACTGCTAACCTCTTACTGAAAATTAAATGTTTATAAACACACACACACACATATTACCTATAAATATATACACACAGTCTAACACTTAGTAGGAACTTAATAAATATTTCTGGTACCATCCTAAGGTATGGTGATGATGGCATGACCAAGTTTAGGTTCAGGCTTACTTTGAGTATACAGCTTTAAATAATCATCATCTCTTCTTATTTTGTAGGTATTGGATGTAAGTAGAGAAGGCAAAGAAGAAGTGTTCTATGGGCCTACACTCCCTTTTGCTTCCAATGGAATAGCAGCATGCTTCCTCCCAGCCCCATATTTCACATGCCCTAACCTTCAAACTCTTCAAGTGCCTCATCACAGGATTGGCACCATCTGAAAGCCAATGCTCTGTTAATAACTATCATACCAGGTGGAAAAACAAAGGGTGACTGTTGGATACTGGGCATGAAGAGCCTCAGTCTTAATGCTTCCTTGTTTTGTGTTATAGGTCTGATATTCACATACATATTAGCAAAAAATGAACAATTTTCTAAAATACATTACTGAAAATTCCTGTCACTCTTCTAAGTGTATGTCAACATACAATACAATATGTATGACTTTTACTGTGATGTAGCTTAGTGTCAACTTAATGGTACATTATTGTTCCATGGGTCTTTAAAACATTCTTTATATACTTTTTCTAATCAGTGCTATCTAGGACAATATGACACTGTTGGCAATGCAGTTAATTTCACACAATGGCATCAATGATCTTAAAATCTTCCACACTTACTCCCTTTACTACTCAAACATGAGCTTCTAATTCTTCTTTTTAAAGTTTAACATTATGCAGCCCTGCTCAGTAGAGAGTCAGCATTAGGACATCATAAATTTTTAAGTGCCATATTTTATTCAAGGTGATGCGAATAATAGAAGTACACTGGGACAGCAGTTGGAATATCCAGAATTTTTGCCTTGGTTACTCTGACCTTGAGCCAGAACTTTTTGGTACTGTAGTCTTCCTACCTTTTAAGGAGGATCATTACTGATTTCCATATTAATTCAAAAGAATGTTGTGAGCACTAGGCAAATGCTCTGAAGTACTTCCCCTAAGAAAAACAAATGCTACTCAAATTATGAGGCATTTTACAATCTTGAGAACCCTGTAACTGAATCAGATTACTTTTACATTTAGAAATTACTAGATAGGATTTGGAAAACATGCTACGGAATAAATGATTCTGAAAAGCATGTGAGACATACACCTTTTATAACCAGAAGAACGTTTACCAATACCAAAGATATCTAAATTTCTAAAATCCTTGCTCAAATAATAACTCTTAAATTAAGTCTCATTTTAAATCACTTAGTGAAAAATGACATTTTAAAGCTAAAAAAAAATAGTTGTACTAATTATGGTACCATAAAGTGCTTTGACATAAATTTGAACTTAGAATTGGCAGTTCTAATAAAAGTTTTCCATTTTGTTAAAGGTTATGTCAATCTTGAGGGCTTGTGGGAATCTTCACCACCACTGATACATATTTTATTACGACCACTTTTAATAATGCATAAGAATTCATTTTTAGGCTAGGTTTTTGGGTTTGCTTTGTCTATGACAAAAAAATAAATAAAACAATAATCACATTTGAACATAAATTCAACAAGTGTAAGTGAGTTTCTTTTCTCCTAATCTTACCAGGACTTAAGGTCATCTATATTAAAAGGAATCTTTTACTCTGACCTTTTTCCTTCATCACTTTAATCATTCAGCAATTCCTCACTTATAGAAAATGTCATTTTATTCACATAATCATATTTAGTAATCAAAATGAATAAAAAAATTTATCATAAATAAGAATCCCCTGACTTTATACACTGTTATAAGATACCTAAACATTATTTTAAAAAATATATGATTTCTGGTTATTCAAAAATTAAAGGACAGGAGGAGATAAGGAAAAAAGGTTAATTTTAAAAGGTAATTTAAAATTTAGTTTGGATAAATAAAAAACCCATATGACAATTTGGACAGTTATGAACAATGAAAATTGATATTGATTACTGATATGCAGAATGTGGAAAACTTCTTTAAAATGTATATAAGCCACTTAAATTAAAATTTTTAATTGGTTTACCAAGTCAGGAAACAGACTCTAGGATTTAGGAAATGTTTCAACAAGGACCTATGCAATCTCCTTAAAACACAAATTTTTTCTCCAGCAGTTTACCCTTAACCCATTAAAATCTATTTGTAGAACCAGACTCTACATCCAGGGAGTGAAAGGGAAATGGCCTAAGAATAATCTTGCCTGAAAGATAATGGAAAGGTAGACTTAGACTACCCTTTATTATTTCTGGACAGATTTCTAACTCTCAAATAAAACAAACCAGCATATATTATCACATCCTCCTTGGTGATCCTTATAATGTATTATTCACTAATGTAATCTAGTATTGAAGTCAGAATTTTAAAAAGTTTTGCATAGAGTTGAATGCATCTTTTATAGTAAGCTATAGCCAAACAGTAGCATCAAAAGTAGAATATTTCTTTTCTAAAGAGAAAAAAACCCAGATTGCTTAGAACTAGACCCTTTTACTCAAAATTATCATTAATCAGAAAAAAATTCTATAAAACCATTTGGTTGGTCATATAAGCCAAATTCCATTAAATTGTTCAAATATAATATTTTCTATTTAAGTATCCTGATTTATCTTCCATTTTGAGTCTGCAAAATTAAAGGCAATTATATTGCATTTTAATTTCTACAGAAACCCCTAAGACTTCCAAAGATTAAAACATCATTTAGAGATTTTAGTTTAAAAACAGAAACAAAAAGTAGTACCACACAGATCTTATTAGAATATTCTCAGTGTTCAAGGAAAAATGAGCAAAGACATAATTCTCTATAATAATGTAAATGTTAAAATGGAGCAACATTACTTAAATAAGAACAAAATGCCTTGTAAGAACAAAATGCCTTTTAGGTTATGATTAGGGTACTTTTCATACTTTTTTCCCCATATTTTCCTCACACCTTAAGTACATGTTTATTGTACCCCCTTCTGCCTCTGCAATAGCTGAAACATTTTTATCGTTGTACCACAAAATGTAAAAGCAACAAATTATTTCTCCAGGTAATATGGCTTATTTTTAGTTTGCTTTTCAAATAGTGAATCTGTTATAAAAAGGAAGGAAGTTGAATAATCATGGGAATAATTTACATCAAATATATAGATTTTATACACACATAAATTTAATCTTTATTATAGGTACAAATAGCTTATAACTCTGCATATAAAATAAGAATGTCCACATTTTTTTTTCTAAAAGCACAATTCACAAATGCAATAAATTGAATAAATATGACATACTAAAAATTTAACAAGTAAAAATTGTTCAATTACAATCTGACTTTGGTAACCTTACCATACAGGTTATCACAGAGTGAAAACATAACTCTAATTAAATATGTGAAAGAATATGTTATTTTGCTAACTTCCCAAATCAACTGTTCTAAACAAATAAAGTATATTATTTATATTGGTATCCTACACTCTTACCTAACAAGGTAAAGAGATCAGTTTCTGGAAGATGTAGGTTGTTGTAAAAAGCTATCACAAAGTAGTGGCTTAGTATAGACAATACAACTTTTGATGAGATTTCTATGATATTTACCTCTGATCTTTTAAATATGAGTGCTATGATATTATGTAGGATTTAGGGACAGATTTCTAAAAGGGTTTCTCAAATGCAGAAGCTTAACTGGTAAAGATTTTTTTAAGTACATGGGAACAGGCCCATGCAATTCTTTAAGAATAAAGAAGCTTAAAAAACTGTAATAAAGGGCTGGGGTTGTGGCTCAGTGGTAGAGCACTTGCCTCACGTGTGAGAGGCACTGGGTTCAATTCTCAGTACTGCATATAAATAAATGAATAAAATAAAGGTCCACCAACGACTAAAAATTTTTTTAAAAACTGTAATAAAGCATTGTTCAATGGGTAATAAAACTCATTAATGGTCTAAGACCTACAAATAATTTCTTAAATAGACATTGATGTAGGAAAAGTCAAATACAGTCACAGATCACATAACAGGGATACATTCTGAGAAGTGTATCATTAGGCAAATATCAGAGTGTACTGACATAAACCCAGATGGTATAAATCAGTCACTTGATGTGACATCTTGATGCAGTCAAGAGATGTGACAAACAGGAGATGTATGAGGCTGTTACCAGTGTAACATGACACCCTATTTTACAGTAAACATTTTTTAAATAAATATGTTCTAAAATAATGATTAAAAAGTATAGTATAGTAAATAATATGCAGTAGTAGTAATTTATCATTATCAAGTATTATGTCCTGTACATAATTGTATGTGCTTTACTTTTATGAGTGGCAGTAATGTAGGTCTGTTTACACCAGCATTACCACAAACGAGTGAGTTATGTGTGGTGCTGTGATGACACAGTGACTGTATCACTAGGCCACAGGACATTTTTAGCTTCCTTATAATCTTATGGGATCACTTTGGTACATGTGGCCCATCACTGACTGACATGTTAAGAAGCACATGACTGTATACTTAAGAGAATACAGGTAGAGATATACACGTTTTAAACTATGAAATTCTTCTAATGCAAATGAACTTAACACAGAATGATTTTTTTTTGCATAGAGACGATCCTCCATGTCTTTTTCCCCCTCCCCTATGGAAACCTTCTAATTAAATGTTAACTAAATTGAAATTTAAATAATAAGCAAATCCTAATGTCTAATAAAAATCCTTTCATCACTCTGTTGCCCTTCAATCATCTTTTACATCCCATTTGGTATTTTATAGATATTATTTGAATGGAATGTTCACAAATCCAAAGTGTATATATTTTTTCTTCCTGTTTAAATGTCCTAAGTTTCTGTATAAATGAAATGTATTTCATTTTGATTTTTATATAAAGTATGGTACTCCCAGCATGAATGAAACCGAGAGTAGAATGGACATGGCATCCAGAGAAAACAGCTAAATCTTTTGTTTGGAAAGTGTTAAGTCTGATAAACAAAAACAAAAATAAGAACAACAACAACAACAAAATCAGTCAAATGGCAGAAAAGCTCTAGACTAAAGAGTCTTAAAACATCAACTTATAAACAATGGGAAGTTTTTGGAGGTCCTGCAGCTGACAACTAAACAAGAAGTAGTATTTTAGGAACACTGATTTCAGAACAATGTGTAGGATAAACTGTAGAAAGGGGACCAGAGGAAAAGAGATGAAGATATCATAGTGATCCATGGGGGGGTGGAGGGTGGTGAAGTTTGGATGCAAGGAATTGCAAAAAATAAAAGAAAAAAAATGCCCAGGAGCCTGGATAGGCCATCAACTGAAAACTGGGAGCAATCAAAAATCTAAGATGCTTCTGAAGTTTCAAGGCCAAGTATCCTGGGAAAAATAGGATATTCCCAGGGTAGAAAATGAAAGCAGGAGCTAGTTTGGGCAGCTTAACATACTGCCTTAAGATTTCAGGAAGATGCAACTAAAGAGAAATATATATCTGAGAGATAAAGTCATGAACTAGTGTTATCAGTCCACTACTAAAAGGATGTTGGGGCAGAACAGAGGAAGAGGATGGGAAAGAAAACTTTGGTACTCTCAAGACACAGTAGAAGCAGGAAACTTTGCTGAGGAATGGATGGGAAGATATGGGGACATGTGAACATCACAGAGATGCCAAAGAATGTGAGAAATGAACACACATTCTCATATTTGACCAAAAGAGTTTGTAATGTAATGTTTACATTACAGTGGTAAAAGAAGCAGCCTCAGAAATGACAGGGTATTTATGGGAAAATGAATATTAGAGAAGCAGGCATAGGTGAAGTTTGGAAGTAGAAGAAGGAAAGATTGTAATAATAAAGGATCAGAGGAGATTTTCAAGAAAAAGAACTGAGCCATAAATTTGTTTTTTTCCCAATTAAAAAAGCAGCTTCTTTAAAATTTGACTTATAGGGGCTAGGGTTGTGGCTCAGTGGTAGAGCACTTGTCTCGCACGTGTGAGGCACTGGGTTCAATCCTCAGAACTACATAAAAATAAATAAAGGTATTGTGTCCACCTACAACGAAAAATATATTTTTTAAATTTTACTTATATGTAAATAAAAAATGTGTATGTATGTTATTATAGTCTTTTGTTGTTATTGATTTTTAATTACAAACTTTAATTACTCTTAGTATTTATAGATATGTGCCCTAATGAAAGATTCCATAGCAGTTTTTCTTATCCCTTGAAAATTTTATACTCTAGATTCTAAAAGATATCTTTAACAACTGTCCTTGGGGGAACCAAAAAAAATAAAAAATAAAAAAATAATAACACACCCCTCTTGAAAAGATATTGCCTTAAAGAGTTAAAACTCCTTTAACTGCTGGTACTTGCAAAGCATACATTATTAGTTTAGTAAGTCACTATTATAATAAAGAGAAAATTATTGTTATGAACTCTATTAAGCAGGATTAAAGAATATTCCATTTGTGACAGTTGACTTTGGGGAGAAACAGACCATTTATATCATGAAAATAACAACAGCTTTGGAACTCACAAATTACAATTAGGAGACAATTGTAACTAGAGAATGTTGATTGCTTGCTTGCTTGTTCACCCTATTTGCTTATTTATATTTATTTTTAACATTTTTCCACTTGGGGGATGGAACCTAGGGTCTCACACATGCTAGATAAATGCTCAATCAGTGAGCCACACACAACCTTAGCCTCTATTTCATTTTAAGATAATTTCTGAGTCAGAAAAGGGTTAAAAAGTTTTCTTGAAGGATTAATGTAACCATGATAAAGACTACAATTCTAAGAAAGAAATTATTTCAAAGCTAAACATGACTTGTAAAGAAACATTGAAAAAAAAGTGGGCTATGTCATTAGAGAAAGGGAAACAAAATCGAAAGATGTTCTTTACTTTTATCATGTATGAATAATGTAGCAATCATGTAGGTACACCATGATGTAGAGGAAAACATTTTTACATATATCATTTCTCTGATTCTCATAATAGCATTGTGAATTTTTAACATGATTTATTTTTTCCATGAAGGAATTAGGCTGAGAAATGGTAAGTAACCTGTACAAGGTCACAAAGTAGAACTGGGTTAGAGACCTATGTGGGTTCCTAATACTAGGACTGAAACTTTACCACATCAAGACCAACTGGTAAAACACAATCTGGATGAGAGTTAAAAAGTAAAGAAAAAATAGTTATGAAAGGAAACTAAATTGGTTCTCTAAACTTACAAGATGCCAAATTATAAGAGCAAGGAGAGAGATCAGCTGACTGCTCAACTTTTATATAATCTTAAGAAGTTTCCAGAATATTTTTATTTATTCTTTTCTTCTTAAAGACTCTTATTTTTTTCCACCTGATATCTTTTAATGACAACTCCAAGCTAGATACTTTTGGAATAAGTTTAAAATCTTTTTAGGTATTATCTGTGTAATCCCTAAGTCAGATTCAGCCTGAATCCTAAGAGAGTTAAGTATACTTTGTAAGGGTTTTATTTATAAACTTGCCTCACACATAGTATAAAGGAAAACAAATATGTATCTCTAAACACCCAACTCCTCTAACAAAACAAAAACATATCACCAAAAAAAAAAAAAAAAAAAAAAAAA